AGCCACCCAGGCGCCCCAAAACGTTTTTAGAAACAAAAATCAGGCTGTTAGGGTGAGCTGTAACCCAATCTGAGTAGTGTCCTTGTAAGAAGGGGGAAGTTGGACACATGGAGACACACAGAGGAAAGACCATGTGAGGTCACAGTGAGAAGGCAGCCATCTGCAAGCCAAGGAGAGAGGCCTCAGAGGAAACCAGATCTGCCAACACCTTGATCTCAGACTTCCAGAACTGTGAGAAAATAAATTTCTGTTGTTGAAGCCACCAAAAGCTGTGGTATTTATTTACGACAGCCCTAGCCGACTAAATACAGCCCCCTCTCCCCATCCCAATTCACAGAGGAATGTATCAATTTTGGTAGTCAGCTAGGTAACCTTCTAGTCTCTTTCCGCGCGTTTATAATCGTATATGAAGATATACACGCACAAATTTCTTTCTTTTCTACTTCTTTTCTTTCTTTCTTTCTTTTTTTTTTTTTTTTTTTTTTTACAAAAATAGGATTTGGCCATACACACTGTTCCACAACTAACTTTCTTCATTCCACAGTACGTCATGGGCATGTTTCCATATCAGTAGCTCCGCAAGCATTCTCTTTTAAAATGTTTATGTTTTGAGAGAGAGGGAGACACAGAGCACAAGTGGGGTAGGTGCAGAGGGAGAGGGGGACACAGAATCTGAAGCAGGCTCCAGGCTCTGAGCTGTCAGCACAGAGGCCGACGCGGGGCTCAAACTCACAGACTGCGAGATCATGACCTGAGCTGAAGTCAGATGCTTAACGGACTGAGCCATCTAGGCGCCCCCGAGCATTCCTTTTAATGCTCACAAATATTCCATTCCCTGGGGCAGCATCCTGTTTTCTTTCTTTTTCTTTCTCCTTTCTCCCTCTCCCTCTCCCTCTCCCATTCCTTCTCCCTCTCTTTCTCCTTAGCTCAAACAACAGAGGTTTCTTTTCTCCCAGTCGTGGAGGCTGAGAATCCTCGAGTAGGGTGCCAGCATGACTCAGGTTCTGGTGAGGACACTCCACATGGCTTACAGATGGCGGCCTTCTTGCTTGGCCTGCTGGCTTGTCCTTACACGGCAGAGAGACAGAAAAGAAGCTCTCCAGGGCTTCGTGTTATGAAGGCACGAATCCCATCACGAGGGCCACCTTCCAAAGTCTCTGCCTCCAGGATCATGACAGTGAGGGGTGAGGGTTTCCGCACAGGAATTTGGGGCACACAATTCTGTCCCGAGCAAGAGGCAGCATCCCAGCATCCTCCACGGATGCACATGGTTATCATCCCTTTGGCTGTCACAAACGAGGCTGTGATATACACCCTTGTGCCACCAGGCTGGGCTTACCGGTGGGATAAATTCCTAAGGGTGGAATTGCTTTTTTATTTTGAACTGATGTTGCTAAGTGTACCTTCCCACCGGCCGGATATGAGCGGGCCCGTTTCCCCACACTCGCTATCTCCTCCACTTGGTAGCTCTCGAGAAACCGGTGGTGGAAAGGAGTCGGTGAGCTTGTGACATCTGGTTCTGCGGGGAACCAACCATTTGGTCCAGAGGATGAGCAGAATCGGGAGCGAAGAAGTCCAGGGGGAAAAAAAAAAAAACATCAGAGAGCCCCTCTCGGAAAGGCCAAGGGACCCACAGTGGGAGCCAAGGGGTGACAGGTTTCGTTCGCTCATTTGCCACATGCTTACAGGTGTGCACAACGTCCCAGGCCCCAACTTCGCCCAGCAGTGAACAGATCACCGGCCCTGCCCTCCTGGAAGCCACGTCTAGTGCAGGAGACACAAAGTAACCAAGTCAGCTAGTACAAGTCATTTCAGGCAGCGCTTGGAGCTGCCGAGAGAGAAAGAGAGAGAGAGAGAGAGAGAGTTCAAAGAGCGGAAAAGGGCCAGAGAGGCCGAAGCCTGTGGAGGTGAGGGGAAAGGGGGAGGACCGAGTGCCACGTGGGGTGTGGATTCCACACACTGGGACACCTCTGGAGGGTGTATTGGTCAAGGTGGAGGACCAGCTGACTTTTTTAAATTAACATTTTTTTTAATGTTTATTTTTGAGAGACAAGAGAGAGCATGAGCTGGGGAGGAGGAGAGAGGGAGAGGGAGACACAGAATCCGAAGCAGGCTCCAGGCTCTGAGCTGTCAGCACACAGCCCGATGCGGGGCTCGAACTCACTGACCGTGAGATCATGACCTGAGCCGAAGTCGGACGCCCAACCCACTGAGCCACCCAGCGTCCCCAGGACCAGCTGCTTTTTAAGGGTGCCTCTCGGCAGCCTGAGAGACAATGGCACTGGGACAAGGAGTTGGGACAGAGCTGGAGAGAAGTGCACGGAACAGGCACAGCTCTGTATCAGCAGGATTTCTAGCATCAGCAGAAAAGAAGGAAGCAGAGAAACAGCCCTTGGGGGGCGGGGGGGACCCTTCTGGTTATGTATTGTTGTGTGACAAACTACCTTAAGCTACTCTGGTTTGACGGCGGGAAACAACAGCCATCTGATTGAATCTCGTGATCTGTGGGTTAGGGCTCAGCTAGGGGACTCTTCTGTTCCAAGTGGCCTCGCTGGGGACACTGTGTGGTACTCAGCAGGAGATGCCGCTGGGCTGGAGGGTCCAATATGGCTTCCCATTCATACCTGGGCTGGGATGGCTGACCAGCTGGGGCCTTCCGTGTGGCTAGCTTGGGGTCCCTTAGCCAATCAACCATGGCAGCCTTGGGGCAGTCAGACTTCTGACATGGGCAGCACAGGGGCTCCAAGAGGGAGTGTCCCAAAAGACAGGAGGAGGAAGCTGGCAGTTTTATAAGGCTTGGAACCTGGCGCAGTGACACTTCCGGTGTATTCTATGGGTCAAAGTGATTGCAGAGGCCACCGAATTCAAGGGACATGGACTCCCTTTCAACGGAGGGAGGTGTCCGTGAATTTGCACTATCCTTATGTCCCAGAATGCTCCTTCACAGCCTTCTCTTAGTGTTGCCTGTCATATTATGTGCCCTGATCAATTTATTATCAATTAATTTTTTGAGAGACAGAGAGCAAACAGAGGAGGGGCAGAGAGGGAGAGAGAGAGACAGAGACAGACAGAGAGACAGAGAATCCAAAGCAGGCTCTGCACCATCACCACGGAGCCCGACGTGGGGCCTGAACTCATGAACCGCGAGATCATGACCTGAGTTGAAATCAAGAGTCAGATGCTTATCCCGCTGAGCCACCCAGGCGCCCCACGCCCTGATCAATTTAACTCTGCTTGCCGTGTAGCAGGCTTCACTCCCAAGTTTCAACCAAGCTCAGTCGTGCAAGAAATATGTCTCGTGTTTCCTTGGGTAAGACTTTCTCAGCCTCAGTTCACTCGGGACCACGTAGTTGCAGGCAGCTGGCCTGTGCACGGTAGGATGTTCGGCAGCATCCCTGGCCTCCACGTTGTGACGATCACAAATGTCTCCAGGGATACCTGGGTGGCTCAGTGGGTTAAGCGTCTGACTCTTTGGTTCAGGTCACGATCGCGGGGTTCGTGAGTTCGAGCCCCGTGTTGGGCTCTGCGCTGACAGCACGGAACCTGCTTAGGATTCTCTCTCTCTCCCTCTCTCTCTGCCCCTCCCCTGCTTGCACGCGCTTTCTCTCAAAATAAATAAATAAACTTTAAAAAAAATTTTTTTTTTTTTTTTAATGTCTCCAGACATTGCCAAATGTCCTCTGGGGGGCAAAATCGGCCAGGTTGAGAACCTGAACCTTGGGACCAACCCATTCTGACTCCAAGCCCCCTCCCTACCCAGCTTGTGAGGAAACATTACCCCAGTTACGACAAGGATTCTTGTCGGGGGATCTCGGGTTGCGGGGGGAGTGTGGCGCCCTAACCCTTAGGAAGAGCTCCAGTCCACTACCATGGCTGTTGTCAGTGTCCTCACTGGGCTCACCTCTGCGGTTCCCTGAATCCAAAGAAGCTCTCCTCCCACCCCCCAACCCAACCCTGTACCTCGCAGAGGATACGGCCTGTGAGCACAGGCTCTCTCACATGACGTCCTGCAAAGTTGTCCCCTCTGACTCTGGTCACCCGCCGGCTCAAAGTTCCCCGATCAAAGCTAGAAGACGGCTGGAGAGTCTGTGGGTCTATGCCCAGCTGACGGAGTTTGCTGACAGACCGGACGTGGTTGTGGAAGACAGGGGTGAAGGACACCTCCAGAGTTTTCAGCGTGAACCAGTCCAAGAATAAGGAGGACATTGATGGGAAGGAAGTCAAGGGAGGGACGATTTGGGGGGAGAATATTGGGAGCTCCAATTTGAACACATCGGGAAGTCCATTAGCCACCAAGTGGAGACATTAAGGAGACAGCGGGGTGGACAAGCCTAGAACTCGGGAGCAAGATCTGGGCTGAAGATAGAATTGTGGGAGTCATCTGAGACGGTATTTATAGCTACGAGACTGACTGAGATTACCCTGGGAGGGAACGTCAGTGGTGAGGTCCCAGGCTCGGCTCTGGGGCTCTCATACGAATAATTATCAGATAATAATTACCATCATTTTATTCTTTGAAGCATCTGGCACGCTGCCTGGCTCCGTAGACAAGTTCACTGAATGGAACAGACTGCTGTGGCACTTTACTTCCCCCCCCCCCCCCCCCCACTTTCCCTGCTCCTCAGGATTTAGATTCTACCTCAGCAGGAAAGCAGGGAGTTAGAATCGCTCGGTTAAGTGCGCGTGAAAATATTCTTTAGGCATTTTTCAGAATCCGGAATGGAACTCTGGTCTCGCTTGCTTGCAGAAGGAAAATCAGGCTGTCTTAAATTCCCACTCCAAAGTGAAAGTTCTTACCGAAACAAAATTCCACGTTCCACAGACCCCGAGAGTTCTGAGCTGGAACGATTCCCTAACCCACATGCTCCGGAGTTTGCTGGGCTCCAGCTCGTTTTCCTTCTTCTGATAGCGGGAGAATTTTTAATTTGGGGGGGGGGGGTGCTGTTCTGCAGAGAATTTGGTCACACACGTTTACTCCTTCAGTCTCTCATTCGCTCCAGGATCTACGACCTCAGAATCGACTCCAAAGACAGGCTTCGGCATCTTGCTCCCCACCCTTGAGAGCAGAAAGCACCAAAATAGCAGCATGAATCACTCGGAAACTGTCATGTAATGCACGGGCCAGGACACCTTCTGCGGCACAGCTTCTGCTTGTGTTCCAGGAATCTGGGGAAGGGGACACTGGCGGACTGCATCACCACCTCCCCGTCCCACTCGAGAGAGCTCTGAATCTACAAAGAAATTTGAAGAAGCCCAAGTCGGTAAAAAATTATAAGAGCTGACATTTTTTAACATTCAGGAGTGACTCTACCGTGACCTTGGATAAACTTAAGCTTTAGGGTCTTCTATTCACAGCCCTTCTAATTTGTATTTTTGTCTTCTCAAAGGCGGCTTTCAAAATTTTGTTTTGGGTCTGACAAGACTGGAGTGTGGATTATTTTGTCCTGTCCTCAGAGTAACCTTGGGAAGTCCTTGGAACTTCATCATCTCCATTTACAGGCAAGGACACTAGAGCATAGAAAAAGCCTTCTTTGGGTTCCTTGAAAATTTCAAACTTGTTTTAACCTCAGGGCCTTTGCACCTTCTGTTGTCCTGTCTGGAACTCTGTTCCTGGCTGGCTTCTCATCACTCCAGGTCCAAGGGGCCTTCACTACTAACCACCTGCCTCTAGGAGCTCCTTCCTTCCCTGCTTCCCTGGTTACTCTCTATCCCTTATCTTTTGCTATTTTTATAGCACTCGTCACTCTCTAGTTATCTTCATTTCTACATTTGTTCTTAACAAATGCATACAGTGCTTGCTCTTTAGCCAGGCAACGTTCTAAGTGCTTTACAAATATCAAACCATTTGGGCGCCTGGGTAGCTCAGTGGGTTGGGCATTGGGCTCTTGATTTCGGCTGAGGTCACGATTCCCTGGTTCGTGGGTTCAAGCCCTGCATCAGGCTCCACCGCTCCCACCGTCAGATTCTCTCTCTGCGCCTACCCCACTTGCATGCGCAGGTTCTCTCTCAAAATAAACATTTTTTTTTTAAAAATCAAACAACTCGATCTTCACAACTCTGACGTTAACTTTTTCGGGGCCTCCAGGCGTGCATTCGACTCTTGGTTTTGGCTAAGGTCGTGATCCCAGAATCATGGGACCAAGCCCCGTGTCGGGCTCCGCACTGAGTGTGGAGCCTGCTTAAGATTCTCTCTCTCTATTTCTCTCTCTCTCAAAAACAAAACCCTTTTTCATCCATATTTTAAAATAGAAGCAACGGAAACACAGGGAGGCTAAGCAGGGTGCTTGAAGTCACGCAGATGAGTTGACTAGCATCTCTCTCTCCGGCTAGAAGACACCACCCACCCCAACGGAAGCCGCGTCTGTGAGCGGCGGCCTTCACTGTTGAGCCCCTGCCTCCGGAGTAGCGTGCCGCCCGTAACAGGACCATGGAGACGTCAGTGGTGACGAGACCGGGTTATGCAGAGGGAGGAACGGGAAAGAAGCCTGGAGAACAGCTGTGGGGGGAGGCAGCAGTGGGATCGGCAAGAGTGCGGTGGTCTGCAGACATTGCCAAGGACCAATGAAAGATCTCGTGGACGGGGGTATTTAGCGGATGAGTTGAGAGGCCCAAAGCCTCGGAATCACCTGCCTCCTTCATGCCCCGCGTCCGAGGCACGAACAGATCCTGTTGGCTCCTCCAGAAGTTGGATTCCCAACTTTTCCCACCCCTCCTCCGCTCCCACTGTGGCCCACGGCACCGTCGCCGCTCCCCTGGAATACCGCAATGGTCTCCTAAGAGGTCACCTACACTGCAGCCAGAGTCCCGATCCGTCAGATCACGTCACTTTTCTGTTGAAAACGTGCTGGCATGAACACAATGGCCTCTCACCCTGGCAGGACCCGGCCCTTGCTTCCTCTTGACCCAGCTCTCCCACTTCCTCCCTGCTCCCACCATTCTGGCCACCTCAGTACAGCTTCCACCCCAGGACCTTTGCATGTATTGTTGCCTCGGACTGCAAGGTTCTTCTTCAGATTTTCCATCAGACTCACTCCCTTACTTCCTCAGGCCTTTTCTCAAATATGACCTTCTCACTGAGGTTTGTGTCCTGGCCAGGTTAAGAATGTAACACCATCACCCTCACCTAACGCTCCTTAATCCATTCCCTGCTTCATTTTTTCTCCACTACACTTAAGCAGATATGCCCTAGAAACTTTTTAGGTGCGTCTCCCTCGCCAGAATGAGTGCCCCAGGGGGTGCCTGGGTGGCTCAGTCGGTTAAGCTCCTGACCGGCTCCGGGCACGATCTCACAGCTTGTGGGTGGGTTTGAGCCCCGCGTCGGGCTCTGTGCTGACAGCTCAGACAGAGCTTGGAGGCTTCTTTGGATTCTGTCTCTCTCTCCACCCCTCTCCTGCTCTCTCTCAAAAAGAAATGAAGACATTAAAAACAATTCTGGAAGGAGTGCCACCAGAACAGCGATTTTTGTCAGCTTTCTTTACTGCATTTTCTCCAGCGGACCATCGCACCTGACACATTCAATGATATTCGATGGGTTGATGAACACCTACTATGTACCAGACTCTGCAAAAACGGACACACTTATGGTCCAGAGTGAAAGCAAGTGAGAGTGGGCAGAAATTAGTCTACTTGTTGGAGGCGGACTGTTAAGGAACCTTGACAGCCCATCTCGGCCCCGCAGGGCGCGGGAACCAACCCGGCAGAGTTGGTGGAAGGGGGAACCCAGCAGAGGGAACAGTTTGCAGGCAGGCTCGGAGTGAAGGAGCCCACCTAGGAGAGGTCAGGGGGCCGGAGGCTGGTGCTGAAAATGGGAGGGCAGGGAAGGAGGCGGCCAAAGCAGGCCTGCCAGATCACACAGGCCCTGAGCCCCAGTCTAAAGCCTCCAAGAGTTTCAAGCAAGGGGTGTGGATCTGCAGTGACCTTGGCTGCAAGGTTAAGAACGGACCAGAGACAGCTGGGATAAAGAGGAAGCTGTGGAGACAAGCCATTGCCATAGAGGGGACACTTAAAACCCTGGGCAGGGACGGCACTGGGGACGGAAGGGGGGCTACAAGGACACAGCAGGCCCCAAGACCCTCATCCAAGCCTTCTGCAGACCTGTCGTGCGGCTTCTTTGTTCCGTGAGGCACACACCGGCCCAGGAGGAAAAACCAGCTTCTCTCCTCCACGCTCTAAACCCTTTGGCTGCCCCGGGTGCTCTAGCACGTTACCCTGCCTCTCGGCTGCAAAAGGCCCTCCCGGGGCCGCCACCGCCCGCCAGTAGGTGACCGAGCGCGTCACTGACGTCATTGTCCCCTCCCCCCCCATCCTCAAATAATGGCTCCCTTCACCGAGCGGTAAAGAAATTACTGCATGAACGGGACACCTCCCACGGCCCCGCACTGTCCGACCCGTTAACACGAGGGGATCCAGCGAGTCCCCCCGGCCTCCCCAGGGTGAGACCCCGGGTCCGTCCCACCCAAGTCTCAGCTCCTTCGGTGTTTTCGACCCTTCGGCTACTAACGGCGGGATCTGGGCACGGCCCGGGAGCTCTCCCGAGGTCGACCCAGACGTCGCCCCCACCGGCCGGGACCCGGGGGCTCTGCGTCGCCGGGGAGCAGCGGGTCGCCTGGGCCGGACTCGCAGTCCACGGAGCCCGGAAGCGGCGCGGAGACCACCCCCCCCTCCCCCCAGGCCGCCAGAGCCACCGCGGCAGAGAACCGCGGGGTCCTGAGGTTCCCATAAATCCCTGCAGAGGTGAAACCCCGCCTTTTGAAGGGTAGCCGTTTAAGCCTATCACCGCAGAGTGTCGGCAACTCTCCGCCCAATCGACTTTTTTTTTTTTTTTTTTTTAACCTGAAGGAGGTTCCCTCACGGAGTCCGTCAGCCCAATGGGAGAGGTGGAAATTTCCAGAAAGAACAGGACCAATGGGCGCGGCCAGCGCGGCCACGATTGGCGGGCCAAGCGACCAATCCCCGTCGCAGAAGGACGCCCCTCCCTCCAATCGTGGAGTCTGGGGTGGGCGGGGCTTGTCGGGAAGAGTCCAATCCGGAGGCGCGGAGGAGGCAGGGCTGAGGGCTTACTCTCAGGTGTCCAATGATAGAGAAGCGAAGATGATGGGCCAGACTTCAAGCCAATAGTAGGGAAGGATAGAAAGCCCCCTCGGGGAGCGCGACCAGTGAGCAGGCGAGGAAGGGGCGGGATCCGGGGGTCCCGGCAGCTTCTAGTAGGTTCCAGAAGGCGGCGCGTGCGGTTGGGAACGCGGAGCGGACGGAGTCGATTCAACGGGGTTCCGGGCCGGGCTATGGAGCAGGTGAAGGGGGAGGGGCGGGCCGAGGCCCCGGGGCCACTCGGGGACAGGCCGAGGCCGGGCCGCGAGTGGAGGAGCGGCGGCGGGGCGGGCGCTAATCGAGGCGGTCGGGGCGGCGGCCTGGGGCCGGGCGAGCAGCTGGGGAGGCGAGGGCGTGAGGGCCGCGGCCCACCGGGCGGGAGGTGAGCAGTGTAGCCGGGCCCGGGCCGCGGGGGGCGCGGGGGCCACTCAGCGCCCGTCGCCTGCCGGTTCGGCGAGGAGGACCGGGGGACGGCGACAGTCCGGCTCTAAGTCGGGCCCGCGGCGGGAAGAGAGGCCGTGGCTGGGCCCCGGAGGCCTCCCGGGAGGTGGCCCTGGACTGAGCCGGCGGGGGGGGGGGGGGGGGTAGGGCGGCGCGGGGGGGGGTGGGGGGGGGGGGGGGGGGCTTCGGAACCGGCGGGAGGGACCGGGTCCACGCCAGGGAATGCGCCACCCGGGAGAGCGGGGATTGCCGACGGAGAAGCCACCCGGACTTGGTCACAGTTAACTTGGAGGGATGCAGGGAGCGGGGACGGAAGTACACTGGAAGTAGCCAGGTAGCACATCCTACTTTTCCTGCATCTGGAAAGGCCGGGATGGGAAGAGCGTTGATGGAAGGTTTGAAGAGTAGCGGGCCGACTTATCTGCCTGGTGCAGGAAAGGGACGGTGCGGCGAAAGTCCTTAGAACCAGTCCAGGTCTAGCAGCGTCTTGCAGAGAGATGCGTGGCTCCTCCCGTCCTTTTTTCTGTTTTGGGGTGTGTGTGTGTGATTCGAGAGTAGCTGAAGGCTGATATTTCTGGAAAGTTGGTTTCTGGTTACCCAAGGAGGAATTGGTCGCTGTAGAAAATCTCGTGTAGTAGGCTACGTAGATAAGCAGCAAGAAGTAAGTTATTTGCCTGGGCTCATTTTTAGGGGACCGAGTTTGTAACCGCGGCTGGTTGCTTTTCGGTGGCTTAATTGTATCCTCGGCAGCCCGCAGGTTGTGAAAAGCCTGGAGAGATTTTATTCAGTCGGAAACTGTCAGTGGAAGCGTAACGATT